CGGATCTAAACGTTTAATTTCATTCGACACATCTTGCTCACAGACTGGGTGGAAAAAGAAAGAATTACTAGGGTAATTACCATCTACGTACTTTGCATAATTGCTGCCAGATGTTATTTTCGAGGCAAAATTGGAGCCAATGTTAGTGAAGAACTTGTTAAATTCTTCCGCAATATCAGAATTATTTGTTAAAGGGGGCTTGTTAGGATTACTTGAATGTAAGATACGGGGTATTAATTTGCTTGGTGTTTTGTTAAGTATATCATTGATCACTTGCCATGTTTTGTTTGTGTTACCTTGAGCCAATCATACTCTATTTGAATAATGATGTTTTTTTGCTGACTTCGTGAGTTTTAACAGAATATTTCTATAGGTTTTGTATTTAGTTTTATAATACTCACTGCGTGGATTATTTTTCATTTTTGAAAGCAACTTATGTTTTGTGCGGACTGACTTGGCAAGTCCATAAGACATCCAGGGTTTGCGTATATTTTTAGACCGACGAAATGTTTTTGTACGAAGATGATTGGACGAAATGTTATAAAATATCTCATAGAAAGTTGTGTACGCATCATCCGGGTCCAAACAGTCGTAGACCGGCTGCCATGTTACCGTATGCAAGTCAGATAAGAAGGCGTTGGCATTATAGTTTTTGAAATCATAGCTTTCAACTGTATTTTCTAAATTTAGCTTATGTTTGAGGTGATTAATAACAGAAAAGATTGGATAATGATCAGTGATATCAGATTGAATTGTACCACAATCAATAAAATACTCGGTAATATTTGTAAGACAGTGATCAATGATTGTAGCCGAAATGTCCAAAACTCTAGTGGGAGTATTAATAATCTGGCTGAAATTATAGGAATTTAGAGTAATTTTGTACTGAAGGGCGGGGGTAGTGTCTATGGACGTATCGATGTTTACATCACCAAGGATTATGCAGCTTTTCCCCGTGGCAGACAACTGGTCAAGACACAAGTCTAAACTATGGAGGAATTCGGGATGGGGTGTATTGGGTTTTCTATTTCGGTCCTAAGTACATGTTAAAAAACACACTGCATCTTCATTGCAAAAAGGAGTGAATACTTTCGTTCATGTGCATTCAGTGATTATTGACAGTTAATTTAAAGACAATTCAGATAACAACAATGTCCTAAAATTTTATGCTGTTTATGTCTTTGAGTTCAGCATACTGATGCTTGGTTAGTATACCACAGATGGGTAAATCCACTGACTTTGATTCATCAACAGATGTGACTTTGGAATCTTTGATTAATGCATGTGCAAAAAATGGAATATATAGTTTCTGTGGCAGAAATTCACTATATATAATAAATTGTGACAAACTGCAGCTATGAAATTCAATGCCAAAAAGCTATTTAAAACAAATCCTGAATGATCTATTAATAAATATAACTAAAACAGTACGGGTTTGATGTATCTAAACTACCACCATAGACAATATTTTTAAGCAAATGTTTGCCGTATACATGTATGGAGCTTATAGCAGAATCTTAATATTCACTAGTGCATGCTGTGTGGCTTAAAATATGGAAAACAAAACTAATAATATTATGATAATTGAATCTGTTATATTGCACCCAAAGTGTAATTTTACTTGATTTGTTCATAGTATGTGAAAACATTATCATAAGTCATATCTAAAGTAACAAAATGTGACATTTGCTGGATGTCTTATGGATTGATATCTGGTCATAATAAAATTTATAGCTTGGTATATAGTAAGCCAGCTGACATTTGATATGATAAAGCTGTGTGCACAACCTACATTATAATCTACATTATAATGGTACTTGTAGTTCAGAAAGTTACATTTTATAACATATAATATTTTCTATCTTTGCAATAAATGCTATCGGTGATTTATACTGTTTACATAGTAACTATACTAAAATCTGTAAATTGCTTTTGGTTTTAAGTCAACAAATCAAGGTCTTAATTGGTGTTTGTAACAACTTGGCAAGCATCCAGACGGTTACAAGTAACTTCTTTATACAGTTTGACAGTTTCTTTGACTCACATTAATTGTATTGGTTGTAATACGACCCATAGTTTCAGAACCACATGACATGTACATGTTTGTCATTTGTGCAGTTCCAGAAGCAAAATATAAGTTTCATAAAAAGCAAAATTGGTTGGAAATGTGATAAAATCTGAATATAGGGATGAAAAAAGGTGATGGGCAGCAATACATTATTTCATGTAAGAAGAAGTAAAATGTTTTCTGATAATAAAAGAATTTATAGTGATGTAGGTGATGTCAGTCTATTCAGTCGGCTCCTTGAAGCTTCTGTGAATAGCCAAAATGAATGGAAATAAGTGGCGACAGTAGGCAATGTGTTAATCTAAAGAAAAACCAGTAATATTTACATTTTATTACTTTAAACCCACCTATCTTTTCCATAAACTTTAATTCCCTTTGCCCTTGTGACACTGACAGACAGATTGTCTCACGACCCTATAACATAGCTCCAAAAATAGTCTCATTCATCTAAACATGTATGTATCTGGCTACTGATACTTAGATCTCAAAAGTCAGGAATGATGCCACCAACAAAATCTTTCCATGTTAAGGACGTACATTTAAAAATAGGATAAACTGCTTTGGCTAAGGACAAACAAGTTTTAACTGTGATGGCTAATATTAATAATTACCAACTAGTTTAGTCAATTTGCTTATATAACAGGGAGAAGATAATTTTATGTTGCTCACAAAAGCAAGATAAATATATATGATATTCTACTACTTTTTGCGCAAGACAAAGATCAGACCTGAATAAAAAAAAAAATTGGACTGGAAAAAAAATGAAAAAGTTGATGTGAAAAACAAAAATTAGATTGCATTCCAGTGGTTGACCTTAGTAATGACTATTTTCTTCAGAATATCTGAAAGTGACATATTAAATTGTGGCCTAATTTTTGGTGTCAGATATATAATAAAACGTTTTCACCACAACAGTTATTTTACAATCTCTAATTGTATACATGACTGGCAAAGAGTATAAACCCAGAATAATAACTAAATTTTCATATTATTTTTATAATATTTAGGAAGTTGGATGTGATGGAGTTCTTGGTTCAGCAAAGAAATTTGATGAATGCGGTGTCTGTGGAGGTGATAACACAGAGTGCCAGATAATGTCTGGTATCATGGATGACTGTTACTATGGATGTTGGTTACCAGATGGTTGTCAAGATACCGAGAGGAGCCACCAAGATCAATATAACTGAACTGGCCAAGAGTAGAAACTATCTGGGTGTGTAAAACATATATTGGTGATTGCTAATAATGTCAAAAATGGACAATGGCTTGCTGGTGTCAGATATTGCTGTCTGGCATCAAATATGATAGTCTAATGTCATACATGGTTGACTGGTCTTGAATATGTCTAATTTGCTTCTAATTTGGTTGACATGTACCAAATATGGCTGACAGATACCAAATATGGCTGACAGGTACCAAATATGGCTGACATGTACCAAATATGGCTGACATGTACCAAATATGGCTGACATGTACCAAATACATGTATGGCTGACAGGTACCAAATATGGCTGACAGGTACCAAATATGGCTGACAGGTACCAAATATGGCTGACAGGTACCAAATATGGCTGACATGTACCAAATATGGCTGACAGGTACCAAATATGGCTGACAGGTACCAAATATGGCTGACAGGTACCAAATATGGCTGACAGGTACCAAATATGGCTGACAGGTACCAAATATGGCTGACAGGTACCAAATATGGCTGACAGGTACCAAATATGGCTGACATGTACCAAATATGGCTGACAGGTACCAAATATGGCTGACATGTACCAAATATGGCTGACATGTACCAAATACATGTATGGCTGACAGGTACCAAATATGGCTGACATGTACCAAATATGGCTGACAGGTACCAAATATGGCTGACAGGTACCAAATATGGCTGACAGGTACCAAGTTATAAGTATGGCTGACAGGTACCAAATATGGCTGACAGGTACCAAATATGGCTGACAGGTACCAAATATGGCTGACAGGTACCAAATATGGCTGACAGGTACCAAGTATGGCTGACAGGTACCAAGTATGGCTGACATGTACCAAATATGGCTGACATGTACCAAATACATGTATGGCTGACAGGTACCAAATATGGCTGACAGGTACCAAATATGGCTGACAGGTACCAAATATGGCTGACAGGTACCAAATATGGCTGACATGTACCAAATATGGCTGACAGGTACCAAATATGGCTGACAGGTACCAAATATGGCTGACTAATGTCAGATATGGCCAGATCTTGTCTGCTGTCAGACCAAGTGGTGTCAGATACAGCTGACTAGTCTCAAATATGTCTGACTTGGTTCTAATATAGTTGTCTGGTGTCAAATATGGCTGTCTACCTGATTTGACACCAGACAGTCAAGCTATTTTGAACAGTGGAGCTACATTTGTATTTTGACTGTCAGATCGTTTAAAAATTAATGTTTTTAACACAACATTTGTAGAACCATAACTGAAGGTATGCTTGATAAGACGACAATGTTATAGAGATGGTAGTGTAATACGATATGATAGATATATCACTACCTTAGCTTTCCTTGTAATGTTTCATTTAGACTGTTATGACTTGACTTGCCAGAGTGTGTAATGTAGCTGGCACTTTACAACCCAAAAATACCACTATCTAATGGAAAAAACTACTCAAACAAGTTTTGTTATTAGTTTTGACTAAAAATGATAAGTTTAGTGACACTATAGAAATTTTTGCCTTGATGTCTCCTTGGGAGAGGATTTGATGTCATAGTTCATGTCATGGTATACATGTGATTTTTATTGTTCACTATCTTCTTTGTCCTTTTCAGCTTGAAGCAGCTGAATTCAAACACATATGGTGCATTGTTCAACTGATGTACATTGCACAGTTAGAAGTATTTGAGTAATCAAGTCATAATAAAGAACTAGTCACGAACAAATCAGAAAATCTACTTATGGTCCTTGAGATTTCAACATTGCGAGTACTGATTGAAAAGATTTAAAATGCCACGTCTAAGCATAAGCTTAGGACTGTGTTAAACCTGGAATGTCCAATGTAGACTTGAGTTGGTAGAATCACAAATCTTTGCCAGGAGGAAATACTACACTGCTTTCTCAAGTGTTGCTGCTTTGTCTGGTCTAGCTATCACTTTCTAACTGCTAGCTTTCATGGGAATTCACTGAGAAGTTTATGTCAACTCGTGGTTTATTTAGTACTCAATGGTGACTCTGTTTTTGACCACATGCTGTTGTCAGTGTTTTCTATCGACCTGCAGTTTCAACACTTTCAATTGACAATGATGTAAAGCTATATAACACACACCTGTGTAAAACTTAGTGTAAATAACAAAATAAGAGCAGAGCTTTGTTTGCTCAAGGCAACAGTAGACTTTTTACCCAACAGTATATGATATGTGGGCTTTCTGCATAAACACAACTACAAAACTTGCTGATTATACACATGTATGTAGGAAACATATTTTTAGCAACTTCACAAACCTGAACAATTAAATAATTAGACTGATAACTACTTATGACTGAGTGAAAAATTTCTGCAAAGTTTCATGATTTTTCCTGACTCGTTTTATTTGTGTATTCTTGGAACTAAAGCAATTTACTTCACTTTTTAGATATATTACTATTGACAAGTGACCAGTTTCTTGAATTTATAACTAATGAGATAATTTTAATAGTACTGTCATGTAGTAGTTTTCAAATCTGTAAGTCAAAAATTTCAGATTTGTTTATTTTCTCATTTTTGGTGAAAAATGCTTTGTTTTAGATTTCTTCCTGAAAATAAACAGTTGTTGACGCTTTACATTTGTTATTTTCAACATTGAACTATAATACTTGTCTTTTTTTGCATATAGCTGTGAAGAGTGCCAGTGGTATAGGCTACATCAACAGTGATTGGTCGATAAATAAGCCAGGTCGCTTTAGTATCGCAGGAACAATGTTTGAGTATAAGCGCCCTTTAGATCCAACAGCTAGTATAGGTGAACAACTTCTTTCTGATGGACCAACGATAGAAGAGTTGGATGTGATGGTATGTGAATATATTCTTTTTAACATACAAATTGTTACAGCAAATAATTCATGAGTGTGAGTGTGGGCCTTCAGACAACCATAGTACAAGTATCTTGTCTCTCATTGGTTAATTTCAGACAACTATGGTACAAGTAATCTTGACCCTCATTGGTTAATTTCAGACAGCCATAGTACAAGTAATCTTGACCCTCATTGGGCAATTCTAGACAGCTATGGTACATGTAATCTTACCCTCATTTGCCAATTCCAGACAAGTATCTTGACCCTCATTGGCTAATTTCAGACAGCCATGGTACAAGTAGTCTTGTCTCTCATTGGCTAATTTCTCACAGCCATG